AATAAATAAAAAGCTCTAAGTTTACTCTCTTTTTGTGAGCTGATGGACCATGTGATCACTGACACCAGAAACGCTGCTGCATTAAAAAAAAAGACCTGTGTCTGCAGAGAGGATGGACGCAACAAGCTGTGGGCGAGGACTTCAGACCGTGATCGTGTTGACCTCTGACCCGTCCACTCTGCACTCTGAGTCACGTGTGTCACGGTCAGAACAGTGAGAAGTGCATTCAGACAAGATTATAATCCGAAGTAATGATGTGCCAAGTGTAATCCTGCCAGAATGAACGCACTGATTTCCTATTTTAAACGTCCAAAGTGTACTGTCACCCATCACCTCAGCCCCACCTCCACAACYCTAATCAATTCATTAAGTCAATTTTCTTAATTCTTACAAAGGAAAAAAGTCATAAAATATAAAATGCACTATTTTTGTTCTCATATGTGCCTTAATAAAAAATAGTAATCAAAATGCATAACTAAAGGTTAACAATTATGACATCATAGAGTTTTGATTTGTTTTTTATACTTCAGATCTTATAGTTTCACTCAAACTGAGATTGTCCCATTATTATAGCAGAGTTATTATTTACTAAACTACATTTACTTTAGTAACTTTTTGGGAAAAATGTGCTTTTAGGAGTATTTTTACAATGATGTACTTTTTACTTTTACTTGAGTAATTTTATTATAAAGTACTGCTACTCTTACAAATATCTGCACACTGTGTGCAACTTCGCTAAATGAAGAATCAGCTTGTTTTCACCAAAAATTCACCAGCAGTTTTGTTGGTTTCATATTGAAAATGATCTGTAAACAATGATCATTTAGCCTGAATTTGTTGTGTTTTTATGTTATTTATACTTTCATTTTCATCATTAAAATGCCAAAATTTCCACATAGCTTTAAATTTTGGTCCATCTGATGATGTAATTTTTAAATTTTTAATTTGATCGCTTAGATTTTTTACCACATACTTTTTTACTCTTACTTGAGTTATTTCTTGGATGGCAACTTTTTACTTTTACTTGAGTAAAAAATATGTTGAAGTAGCGCTGCACTTGAGTACAATTTTTGGGTAGTGTGCTCAGCTCAGGGCTGTAGGACCAGCATAATGTAGGTCAGTCACATGACTCAGGCTTCCAGGTTCCTAGGATTCAGCTGAGTGTTTTGTTTATATTGAGTGCATTCCACATTTCAGAACTAGTTTAGGGTAACATTTTGGTGTTGAATTCTAAAGCTTGAAATGAATGAAAGAAAAATGCGTTAATGCTTTAATCAATATTGTGAAAGCATTTCTCCTAAAGGAACAGAAGAAATGACCGGAGAAGAGTGGAGTTTTGGAGCAGGAGCGTTTTATGGGCTTTCTCTTTAGAGAGGGAGGGGGGAGGTTTAACAGCCACTGATTTAACTGGTTGTCCATTAATGAGCCATGAATATAGAAGAACAACCTGTCTGCAGAGCAACGTGGTAAATCCAGAGAGCAATGCCCCACCAGGGATCTCCATTCACTGCTTCTTGACTGGGCTTTCACTTCCCGGGGGGGCCCAAAGGCTCACCACCACCACCTCTCTTGGTTTGGTTTCAAAAGGCCGACCATTGGAGACCTCTGTGAGCTCAGAAGAAAACACATTTTTTATGTCGAGCCATAAAAAAACAACTTTCTTTGGGGTCCATTCAGGAGGATCATTGTTTCAGTTTGCAGTGTGGCCTGTTTCTCACACATTCCCACGTTGTAGAAATTACTTTTTGTTTTTTGTTTTTTGTCGAAATTTATTTATTTGCTTTCAAGCAAGTCTACATTAGAAATAAAAGAAAACCCAAATCTTACAGCATTTTTTTTCTTTTCTTGTCCCTTGAACAGTGATATTATTATTCCTTTCAGGTCATTCTGCTCTCAGAAGAAAAAGAAGAGAGAAAACAAACAGTACAATTTATCTTCCAGTAGAAAAACCTGACTGAGCATTCACACACGTTGTTGTTTTCCTGTTTAATCGTTGTGCTGTCTAACTACCTCCAMTTTCTGCTCTTTTAATTGTTCAAAACATTCAGCTCATTCAGGATTTTTACTTTTACTTTATTATTTTATTTTATTTTGAAATAATTTTCCCCTTAGAAACACATTGCGATCTCTTTATTCCTCCAGAAACACTGCTGTCGTTAAAAAATCTGATTCAGCTTTATTTTTGTCTTTCAGATTTAACTACATTAGCTTTAGGCCACCAGCTAAGTAAGTGTAAAGGTAGCAACAGTTTTGTGACTGTTAGCTTTTAGCTTGTGCTTAGCCAGTTTTAGCTTTCACCTTAATTTTTAGTCACCATTTAGCTACTTTTACCTGATGTTTTGCTACTATTTGTTATCTTTTAAAGGTTTCAACATTGCTTTGTTATTTTTATCAAGTATTTTTTTTTACTTTTAGTTGTTAGCTACTTTTTTATATTTTTGGCTTCCATTTGAATATTTTTGTTGTTTAGTTATTTTGTTTTTGCTTTCGCTACCTTTAGATTTTGAGCCGTTAGCTACTTTTTGTTAGTCTTAGCCACTAATGTTCATGTTTTGCAGATTTTAGCTTTTAATTAACCTTTTTCTGCTTTTTGTTTGTCCTCTTGTTACTTTTAACTTATAGCTAGTTTGACGTTTTTCACTTAGCTAATCCTTTGTGTTGTATTTAGCATATGTTGGTACTATTGCTGCTTTAGCTTTTGTTGAACGTATCACTGCTTTCAGTCTTTTGCCATACCATTTGCTAATATTGCTTTTAAATAGCTTTTGCTACTTTACTTTTTAGTTGCATTTTTTGTTGATTTTGTCCAGCATTTCCAACACTAGAAAATTCAGTATATGTTGTGGAKTGCAGTTGCTGCAATGCATTTCTAAAGGGAGGTCCTAACTGACCTTTACAGATGTAGGTCACCACATGTGTGTATGAACCTCAATTATGCAAGACTTCATTCGGACCACAATGCATCCAAAATACTGACCTTGATCATGTGCACTGTCACAAGGTCCACAATTAAATSATGTTCTTCACGTCAGACACTTCACTGTCCACTAATGTTGTGAAAACACATTTTTATTTCTTGGCTCTTGGTGTAGCCTTAAACTTGCTCTTGATTATTTTACTTCTGGTATTTTATTTAAATTTAATTGATCAATCTTTTGTTTTATTTTTATAAATTGTTTTATGCTTTAAAGGTTTCATTCGTTTTGCATGTACACAATTTTGCTGCAACTGTGATTGAAATTTTAAAGCACTTTATAAATAAAATAGTTGTTGCAATTCAGCATAGGGGTTTTCTCTTTTAGCTTTTATTGTTCTGCGTGTTTCAGCTTTTGTCTTTACCAACCCAGTTTCAGCTTTTTTTGTGTCAAATTTCAGCTCATGCAGCTCTCAGGATTCAAATAGTTTTCACTGAGAAAAAGATTATTTCTGTTAATCATTATTGTTGTTTTGGTTCTCTCTCTCTCTCTCTCTCTCTCTCTCTCTCTCTCTCTCTCTCTCTC